TAATAAGAGACAAATGTCATTTTATATGAAACAGGATTAATTCAACTAGAGAATACTTGTAAATATTTATGTATCCAACACAGGAGCATCTAAATATGTAAATCAAATATTAATAGGCCTAAAAACAGCAATGTAATAATAGTGGTGGACTTGGAAGGATATCATACATCTTTTCCAACCACAATGGTATGAAACTGTAAATCAATTACAAGAAGAAAACTGTAAAATACAAAAACACACAGAGATTAAACAACATGCTACTGAACAACCAATGGATCAAAGACATCAAAAGAGAAATCACCAAATACCCTGAGATAAATGAAAACAGAAATATAACATAGCAAAACCTATAGATGCTGCAAAAGCAATTCTAAGAGAGAAGTTCCGAGTGATACATGTCTACATTAAGAAAAAAGAAAGACCTCGAATGAATAATCTAACTTGACAATCTCAAGGACTAGAAAAGAACAAACTTAGCCCAAAATTAAAAGGGAGGAAATAACAAATGTCAGACAGAAAGAAATGAAATGGAGACTGATAACACAACAGCAAATATTAATGAAACAGAGTCAGGATTTTTAAAGATAAACAAACCTTTAGCTGAACTTGCCAAGAAAAAAGAAAGGACTTGTACAAATGAAATTATAAATGAAACAGGAGACATTACAACTGATACAACACAAATACAAAGGCATCAAAGAGACTACTATAAAGAATTATAATGCAAAAAACTGTTCTTTCTTGCTTTCTTGCTCTCTTTTTTGCCTTCTCTGGTTTTGAGTATTCTATGAGATTTCATTTTCTCTCACCTGCTACTGCAGCAATTATATTTTTAAAAACTGTTTTAGTGCTTTCACTAGAATTTTCAATATACATTTAAAAGTAATTTAAGTCTTTCAAATAACATTATACTACTTCATGGATTGCACAGTTACCTTATAACAGTGTTCCCAATTCACTGTCCTCTTTTATAAGATTTCTGTCACTCATTTCACTATCCTCAAACTATAATCACTGAACACTTATCAACATTATTTTCCACAAAATTACCTATTACACCAATTAAAAAATTTTTTTAATGAACTGATATTTTATCATTTTTCATTCTCTAATCCTTCTTCTTTATATGAACCCAAAATTGACTCACATTTATTTTTGTTTTTTCTGAAGACCTTCTTTAAACATTTATTGCAAAGCAGATTTGCTGATGACATTTTCCCTATTTTTTGTTTGTCTAAGAATATCACTATTTACCTTTCAATTTTGAAGGACAGTTTCATTGTGTATAACATTCTAGGCTGATGGAGGCTTTTTCCAACCCGTTGAATATTTCATTCTACTCTTCTCTTCTTACATCGAGAAAAGTCTGTTGTGAAGTGTCCTTAATCTTCTATAGGTAAGGTTTTACTTCCTCTGGCTTCTTTCAAGATTTTTTATTTTTTATTTCTGCAGTTTGAATATGAGTGCCTACAGGTGTGTGTGTGTGTGTGTGTGTGTGTGTGTGTGTGTGTGTATTTTTGCTTCTTCTCAGAACTTTCTGGATATGTGGCTTGGTGTCTGCCATTAATTTTGGAGAAAGCTCAGCCATTATTACTTCACTTATTTCTTCTGTTACTTTCTTCTCCTTCCAGTTGTTTCCATTACACATTTGATACACTTTTGCAATGTCTGCACAGGTCTTGGATATTCTATTCCAGTATTCTTCCATTCTTTTTTATCTTTGTTTTTCAATTTGAGAAGCTTCTATTGACATATTTTCACAGTCATTGATGCTGATAAGCCCATGAAAAAAGGACTCATTTCTCTTAAAGTTTTTGCTTTCTAGGATTCACTTTTGATTTTTTTCTTAGAGTTTCCACTCCTTTGCTTACATTACCTATCTTTTCCTTCATGTTTTCTACCTTTTCCATTACAGTCCTTAGCAAATTTATCACTATAATTTTATGTTTCCAGTGTAATCACTCTAAAGCCTCTGCCATATCTGAGTCTATTTCTGAGGATTACTTTGTGGGTTTTTTTGCCTACTTCTTAGAATGTCTTGTAATTTTTTTGTTGAAAGCCAGACATATCTCAGCTAACAGGAAACTGAAGCATTTAGCGTGATGTTTTATGTTTATCTGTGTTACTCTGTGTATAAAATTTGTTGTAGCTGTGTCAGAGACCTCAGTTTTCTGTGGTATCCTCATTTTCTTGGGTTTCCACAAAAACTCTTCCTTAAAGAGTAGGTCTGCTGCTCTTTAGTTGTGATTCTCTGTAACTAAACTAGATATCTGTTGATGTGGTGGTAAGTTATTGTGTAGGGGAAGCAATTTATAATCTAATGATTAAACTTTGGATTTTATAGGGTGTTTTTAAGTGGGCCTGAGTCTCTAGGCTGTGGCCTTCAGAAAGTTTTTTTAGCTTCTTTTTTCTAATTCCTTATGTAAGACAGGAAGGTTAAAGTATGGTTGACTTGTCTAATTGACCTTCCTTTCAAAAATTTGGTTAAGGAACCTCTGGCAAAGTAGTTGCCCTATAGAGCAAGCATTTATCACAGAGAGCAGATTTCTCTGGGGCATATTGCAAAATGGTTATTTTCCTTTCCCCTGACTAAAACACAAGAGGATTTTTCTCTCAACTTCACTGTGAAAGGCTGGTGGCACCTGTAAGAGTCACATAAGTGTGTGGGATCCCTGCAGGACCCAGCTCCCAGCAGTATTAACTCTCAAGTTAGTCTATGCTGTACCTCCAGCAATTAGTCAATTACTGTTTAATGTTTGGCTCTAATGGCTTCTGCTCTGCTAAACTGCAATTCTATTTGCCTCTCTCTTCAGTTTGGGAGGTAACAGTTTATCCTGTGATCGCAAGTCTCTGACGAATCTAAGTCACTGGTTTTTAATTTAAACTCTTTTCTTGTTGTGAGGCCAGGAGTGATGATTTACAAGCTCTTTACATATCAGAGTAGAAACTAGAAGTCCTACTGTTTGTTACTGTTTTTTACAAACCTTACTAATATAAAACCATTTTTAGCTTGAAGACCATAAAAAACAGGTGACAGTATATATATATATATATACATATACGTGTATGTATACACACTTACACTGTATACATGCCTAAACCATATACATATACTTACATTTCTACCTCAAGTTGATATTTTAGCACTCCATTTAAAATGTACAAGTCTTTTAATCATTAAATCTTTTTACCCTCCCCCTTTAAATTAGTTGTCATATGTATTACACTTACATTCTTTGAAAACCACACGAGATAATGTAATTTTTGCTTTCTATAGTCATACATATTTTAAGCTTAAAATAAAAAATTAGTCTATCTACTTATATATTTATCACTTCTTTTACTCTTTCTTTATCCTTTAAGTTTCCAGTTTTCCTCTAGTAACATTTCACTTCAGACTGAAGAGAAGCTTTATAGTTTCTTTTAGAGCTAACAACAAATCTTATTAGTTATCTTTCACCTGAGAATATCTTTACTTCATTTGCATTCTTGAAGGATATTTCCACTGAATAATGAATTATGAATTAACAGTTCTTTACTTTCAGGACTCTAAAGGCAATGCTCTACTGTTCTCTGAACCCATGATTTCTGATGAGAAATTCAGAGTCATTTGCATTATTGTTCCAATAATACTATTTTACCATTCTTATTTGATAATGTCAATATCTGTATCCTGTGTGGTTTTATTCTATTGCCTGTTTTGTCTCATAAGTTTTGTCCATGTTGTTGGCTTGCTTGGTAATTTTTTTAATGCAAGACCTTTGCCTAAGCCACTTTACAGATCTGTATATTATTTTCCTTTCACAGTGTTTGGTCCATCTATCTGCTCCTAGATAGACTGCTGGCTGACCACATTTATCCAATTAGAAACCAAGTTAACTACTGGCTAGATTATAGGACTCTAGAAAGGCCTTCACTCCTAGGCCTTAGACTTTTTTTATAGAGATACCAATTGAGAACATGTGGTGTTCACCATGGTTTGTCTCCCAGCATATTCTAAGCTCAAACTCTTCTCCATAGAGTATCACAATAATGCTGACATTTTTCTTGGTTTTTTATAAGATTTTTGCTTGATTTCAGCCTCTTTACTTCACAATTCAACAAATGTATTGAGTGGAACCCAACAGTGTTTTCTCATTGTCTACCTCTCTCTTCTCTCTCATATCTTAACCCAGCTCCATGTCCTAATTTTTGTCTCTTTAGGCTCATAGGTCTATCAAAAATGTGGGCTGGTTTCTTGTAATTTTACTAGGTGCTTTTTGCCCAGATCCTATGCCCAAGAAGCCCTTAGCTTCTTGCCAATGTCCAGAATTGTCCAAGTTCAGAAGGTTGCTTCTCCTCTCAAGGGTATGCCTTTCTCTAGGATTTTAGCCTTTACATTGTTAGTGCTCTAAACAACTCTCTGATGCCTTTAAACAAATCTTGTAACTATTCAGTTTTTCTAGCTGTTCTCAGAGGGATCATCGGTCATAAGCTATTACATTGTAGCTAGAAGTGGAAATTTTATTTTACTTGCTCAGTACTTTGAGTTCTGTTCCCCTGTATTTAACATCAATCTCTGCCCATTTCTTTCAGTTCTTGCTTGTTTAGCTCAAAGGAAACATTGTTCATGCATACTTTCAGATATACTTCAGTTCCATTCTTTGATGTCCATAAAAAGGCAGACATATGAATTTGGGAACACCAGGTAAGGCTTTGTATAAACAGTACTGTCTCCTCGTTGCTACCCACTTTAGTACAGAATTCTACTTCTGGGTTCTGAATCATTTCAGTGTATTTTTTCTTTAGTACTTTATGGATGCATACACAGTGATAGCACAATCTATCATGTTTCTGCCCTTAATATGAAAGGTGAAACTATGCTTTACATTTCTTTTACATACCCAATAATTGCAAGAATGGTGTGAATATATAAGGGTCACTGGATAAATTGTTATTAATTAAAGGTTAAATAAGTCGTTGGGTTCAGTTAAAAATATAATATATAAAATTATATTTACCTGCCATAATCTTCATTGATTCCAGCAAATGGTACTGGATTACAGTGCACAAAGACTGTAAGTGCAAGCAGTATAAGTGCAACAACAGATGTAACCATTATAAATCTCATAAGGTTTTTACAAGACATTTCTAACTTCGAAACAATGACACCTCCCAGGAGCTGGCCAATTGCACCTCCTGGAATTAAAACAAGTCCTAAAGAAAGAAAGAAGAGGAAAAAACAGTTAAACAAATAATCAGCTAAACACAGTACAGAAAAATTCATTCACTGATGCAATCCCCTCTGCTCTAAATTTACAGCAAGCATAGATTTAAATAAAAAGACAAGGAGAAAATTTAAAGATAATCCTCTCAGCAAACCTTATGAATACAAATTCATAAGTGAGCTGAAGCTATAAGCCTACTGACTTTAGAGCAGTGATGGTGAATTTTTGTTCCTACATAAAAATGCCATCTGAGATAAACCCATAATTTAATCCACTCAAAACAGAAGAGGAGAGCTGTCATACTGAGAGCTATTATTTGACAGTTGCCTAGATTGATGGTTACAGCAGAGGCATGCCCACTGTGACAAGAGTTCACAAATGGAGAATCATTACCAAGAATTAAACCAAGTTGCCCATTGGTTCTAGGAATGGATGTGTAATATTAGCAATCTCATAAAAAGTAAGATTCCACAATAGGCATTATGAGGCATAGTTATCTTTTCAGTCAAGCATAAGAGGTCAGAAAGAGGCAAGCACAAGGAGGAAACAGAAGGAAATAAGAAATATAATTAGAAAATCTTCAATCAGATGAAGACAACAGTAAATTCATATGTTGATGTAATCTCCTTTGCTCTATACAGCAATGGTAGATTTAAGTAGGAATATACCAAGAAAATATAAGGGAAAAAAAAACTTACTAACATCAGATTAAATTTGTATTATAGAAGTGTCTGTCAAAAACTTATAAGTAATTTTAGAATGCTCAAAGAGAAAAATGATAGTTTTACTTCCATAAAAATAAAGAAAAAATAAAATAAGAGAAAAGAATGAAGTAAGAGCAACTGAATCAAAAAGAACAACAACAAAAAAACAGCTAGGTATTTACAAATATAATTGTTAAAATTAAAAACCCAAATCCCAGAGTTAAGACATTTTAAAAGTTAGTTAATAAATTGGAGGAGAGCATTGTGTTTTCCATGCAGTGTGTAATTTTTAAAAAAAAAGTGAAAGAAGAGTGACCAAAGTAGACCAAAGTAAGCAGTTAAAAGACAGTAAGTACCATGGACAAATCTGATGGACACTACGTTAGCCAGATGATCAGGGGCAAATTCAAAAGTAGTAAGCCATGTTGACAGCATGTACCTTTGATAACATGTGATTAAAATGGCACTTTACCTCTATGCTCCTCCTTCCAAAATCCATGACCTGTCTAACCATGATAAAAACATCAGACAATTCCCAATTAAGGAACATTCTAAAAAATGCCTGACCAGCACTTCTCAAAATGGTCAAAGTCATCAAAAACAAGGGGAAGTCTGAGAAGCTGTTGTACCTAAAAGGAGCCCTAAGGAGATATGACAAGTAAGTATAATGTGGTATTCAGAATGAGATCCTGGAACAGAAAAAGAACATTATGGAAAAGCTAAGGATATCTAAATAAAATACTGACTTTAGTTAGTAATAATGTATTAATACTGATTAATTAACCATAACAAATCTATCAGACTAATATAAGATGTTAACAAAAGGGGTGACTAGGTGTTCAGTATAAGAAAACTCTCTGTATTATCTCCAATTTTTCTGTAAATCTAAAAGTATTCAAAAAATAACTTTTAGAAAAAATGTGAGTATAAAAAGAGGCTTCACAAAATGTTTTACAGCAATTGTGAGAAATATAATGAAAGGAATATCAGAGAAACATTATCTGGAAAATTAGCTGAAAATAAGAAATTTCCATAATTAAAGAATGAGTTTCGGGAATAAAAGAACACTCCAACTACTGAGAAGGATTTAAAAAGAAATAATTAAATCGATTTTTACACATAGAGAAATAAAGCAGGGAAATGTCATAAAGCAAAAATTGTAAAAGCTGCCAGACAGCATGTTACTTGCAAAAGAATGATAATTACAGCCAGTTTCTTAAAAATATAAAATTAATAACCTAGATCAGACACACACACACACACACACACACACACACACACACACACACACACACACACATACACACTCCTGAGGAGCAGGGGAAGAGAACTGTAAGTGACTTTAATTTTGAAATGTGTAATTGGCAATTACATATTACAAGCTTGTATTACATATGTTCCTAAACTCCAACAGTGATAGTGGAACATATAAATTGCTACTCAAATCTGTTTCCTCTTACATGGTCCAACAGAAACAACATAAAAGGAAAGAACCACCTTTGATTATGGACTTAAAGGAAACAAGGGTAATAAGAAGGTAAGAATTGAGCAATACCTCAAATCAACTGACCTTATGTCCAATGAAAAAGTTATCAAAGGCTTGAGGTTTAAAGTAGATTAACCACCAATTGAATTTAGTTGTTGCTCCTGTATCTCTTGATATTCCAAACATTGTAATGTAACTAAATTTGTGGCAGAGACTAATGGCACTAAATATGCTATCTTGGACACTGCCAAAGCCTTCTTGTATTCCATTAGCACCCAAAAACAAAGACCAATTCTCATTCATGTGGAAGGGCCACAAATATACATTTGCAGTATTCCCTAAATTCCTTTGTCATTGACTATAAAGGGGTAGATTAGGATTTATTATTAGTACCACTACTTTCTGATGTCCAAAGCTTTCACTGATGACTTGATATTCAGTTGGCCAGAGGCTCAGAAACTTAAGACTCAAAAGCTCTGACTTTGATGTCACCATATCTTCATCAGCAAACATGAGTGATAAAGACCAACAAAACCCAGAAGACAGCTCATTAAGTTTTTGGGAGGCTGTGCCGTCAGATTCACAATGTTCAATCCTTGTGGCAGTTAAGGAAAACTTGTTGTCTCCTTTCCCCTCAACCAAAAGGCAGCCTAGCATCACTTTGACCTATAAGTGATAAAGACAGTATATAACTCACTTGAGCATTCTACTTTAGAGGGTTTTTAATATCAGCTAACTCACAGTGAGTATAATCTACAGACCTACATGGAAACTAATCAGCAACCTATGGCATATTTCCTACTCTGAGGTACCACAATCTTAATGACCCACTTGAGTTATAAGTCTCCATGACTGAGGATTTTGTGTCCTGGTGCTTCTGAAAAAAGGAGATGGATGGCTTCCAGTCAGAAGCATCCCTTGGGGTATAGGACTTATTGACTCCCTGAAACAACTATGTTTGGAAAACAACTAACTGCTTAGTTGCCACTGGACTCTCATCAAAACTGAAGCCCTGACCCATGAAAGCCTTGTGACTCCATGGACTGATATTCTCATTTGGGGATGAATCAAATCACACTCACAACTATCTGACAAGTCTTGTCAACCAAAGTAGTATATTCAAGCCACAGGGATGATCATAAGAAATCTTCAAGTCTTTAAGGAAACATGACCAGATTACATAGCCCTCAGAAGACTATGGAAATCTCTCTTAGTTACTCAGGGGAGCTTTCCCAGAGGGACTGCTGACACATTACTTTTATCCACCATGAGGGCAGTTATCTCTACAATAAGAGTAATCCAGTAAGAAAAGGTGGTATGTAATATGTCCTTGACTTTAGTTGAAATAATCAACGACACCACCTCATCCCTGGAAAGCACTCTGGTCAGCCTCAGTAAGTGATCAGCTTTGCTATGGATGACAGATTTGCCCAAAATTTTGTCCTTGTAGGCCAAGGTACAAGATACACAATTGTTAATACTTTTTTTTATACCTGGATTAATACCTCAGGCTAAGTGGAAAGGTCAATACAGAAACTTAAGAAGAAAGCCATCTTTTTCTAAGGTAGACCCTGAGGGCCCAGGGATTTGCTTAGCTGGCTGGGTCCAGGGCCTTGCCAGCATGGGTAGGAGAATACTGCAGGTTCATTATCCTGATGCTTGGAGTCTTGCTGATATTAGCCTTAATTAAATACCACATGAAATAAATTGAACGTATTTAGTCCCAATCTGTGTTGATTTGGTTAATCACACTGGCAAAGAATGTGGTATAGTCATGGAAAAATTTGTCTTTATGGCCCTTGAAACTGTGTCATATTTTTAGATTTTGGACTATTTGCAGTGTGACAATGGTGTTCCCTCTATCATAAAATATACTCAATAATAGGCTGATAGTCAATGTCTTCATACTTCTTAAAATTTGTTTTTTATTTGGCTCACAAATTTTATGTTCCTTCTTTCTGTCCTTTATTTTTAATCAATTATTAATTTAAGTATTGATCAATTACTTCATCATCATTAATCAATTTCCTCATTATTAATAAATTTCTAATCAATTTTAAAAATTGATTAATTTTATTTATATTATTTATTTCAAAACAATATATGCTTTTACCATTCTTTTACTGGTTAACCTAAAAGTTACAGTGTGCATCTTTGACTTTTTACAGCATAAAATAAATGATTACACTTATCACTTTCCTGTTAATGTCTGGACCTTAAAACTTTTTATACCATTTGTGACCTCTTTTGAAAAGCCAGTTCTCAATATTGAATTAAATTGAAGATGTACACAGTAGTAATTCCCCATCACTGTCTAAACCTAGATCAGCTTTACAAATGTGCAAAAGGAGATATGCCAAGCCTATTTGTTACTGCACTATTTGGAAAGGTTAAAAAGTTAGAGGAAACTTCATATCCATTAATATAATAATGAATAAATAAACTCTGGCATATTCATAAAACAGAATTCCATATCACAGTTAAAATCCATTAAATAAGTCAAGATCAATGTATATCTGATTAACATGATTTCAGATGAAAATAACAAAAGTTTGTACAAAACTATATTTCAATTTTAGAAATAGGCCTAATATATAAGCAGTAAAAATACAGAAATTTATAGGAAGGATGCACTCTAATTTTAGAAGAGTGGTTACCAAAAACCTATAATAGATACAAAAAAAAAAAACAAAGAGAAGGAAATATAACCATAACACTAAAGAAAGTCATAATGCACAAGGAAAAAGAACAACAGAGGAAGAAAGGATCAGAGAAGAATGACAAAACAACTAAGAAATATTGAACAAAATGGAAATTAGTACATATATATCAATAATTACTTTAATGTAAATGGACTAAATGCTCCAATCAAAAGATACAGTGTGACTGAATAGATTAAAAAAACAAGATGCATCTGTTTCCTGCCTACAAGATTCACTTTAGACCTAAAGATTAGATACACAGACTAGAATTGAAGCAATGAAGAAAGATACCATACAAATAGGAATGAAAATAAAGGCTGATGTAGCAGTATTTATATAGACAAAATAGACTTTAAAACAAAAATTCTAACCAGACACAAAAGAGGACATTATATAAAGATTAAGGATTCAGTACAGAAAAAGCTGTAACAATTATAAATATCTATGTACCCAACAGAGAAGCACCTAAATATATAAAGCAAATATTAACAGACATCAAGGGAGAAACTGACAGCAATACAGTAATAGTAGGAGACTTTAACACCCCACTTATATCAATGGATAGATCATCCAGAAAAAAAATCAACAGGGAACCGGTGGATTGGAATATCACATTGGAACAAATGGAATTAACAGATATATACAGTATATTAAATCCAAAAATGGTAGAAAACACATTCTTTTCATTTTTACAAGGAACATTTCCCAGAATAGGTCACACATTAGACCACAAAGCAAGTCTCAATAAATTAAGAAGACTCAAATCATATCAAGCTTCTTCTCTGACAACAATGGTATGAAACTGGAAATCAATTGCAAGAAAAAAATGGAAAATACACAAACACATGCTACTAAACAATCAATGGGTTATCAAGGAAATCAAAGAAGAAATAAAAAAATACTTGGACAATAATGAAAATAGAAATACAACAGTTTGAAATCTTTGGGATGCAAAAAAAAGCAGTCCAAAGAGAGTTTATAGTGATACAAGCCTACTTCAGGAAGCAAGAAACATCTCAAATAAACAATCAAACTTGACGCCTAAAGGAACTAGAGAAAAATAAAAACAAACAAAGCCTAAAGTTAGAAGGAAGTAAATAAAGCTGAGAGAATAAATAAATGAAATAGTGACTTAAAAAAAAACAGTAGAAAAGATCAATGAAACTAAGAGCTAGTTCTTTGAAAAGGTAAACAAAATTAATAAACCTTTAAGTAAAAGAGAGAAAAAGAGGCCTTCAAGAAAAAGAGGTCTCAGATAAAGAAAATCAGAAATGAAAGAGGAGTTGCAACTGATGCCACAGAAATACAAAGTATTATGAGACACTACCATGAAAAATTATATGCAAAGAAACTGGACAACCTATAAGAAATGGATAGATTTCTAGAAACATACAATCTCCCAAGACTGAACCAGGAAGAAATAAAAAATCTGAACAGAACAGTTACTTGTAATCAAATTGAATTGGTTATCAAAAAACTCCTAACAAACAAAAGTTCAGTTATCTATGGCTTCACAGGTGAATTCTACCACACATTTAAAGAAGAGTTAATACCTGTCCTACTCAAACTTTTCCAAGAAACTTAAGAGGAATGAAAGCTTCCAAATCCATTCTATGAGGTCAGCATCACCCCTGTACCAAAACCAGACAAATATATTATTTAAAAGAAAAGAAAATTACCAATATTCCTTATGGGAAAAAAACCCTCAACAAAATATTAGCAAACCAAATACAAATACATTAAAAAGATAACTGACCATGACCAAGCAGGATTTATTCTGGGAATGCAAGGATGGTTCAATATCTAAAATCAATCAATGAGACATACCATATTAACTAAAGGAAGGATAAAAAGTATATGATTATCTCAATATTTGCTGAAAAAGCATTTGACAAATGCTTTTATCATGCAATCATGATAAAACTCTCACCAAAGTGGGTATAGAGTGCATGTATCTCAACATAATAAAGGTCATACATGACAAACCCATAGCTAACATCATACTCAACATTGAATAACTGAAAGCTTTTTCTCTAAGATAAGGAACAAGTCAAGAATGCCCACTCTCATCCAACATAGTAGTAGAAATCCTAGCCACAGAAATCAAATAAGAAAAAGAAATACAGGCATCCAAATTGGTAAGGAAGAAGTAAAACTGTCACTATTTACAGATGACATGATTCTATAGAGAGAAAACCCTAAAGATTCCACCTAAAACATTATTGAAATTAACAAATTCAGTAAACTCACAGGATATAAAAATCAATGTGCAGAAATCTGTTTCATTTCTATATACAAATAATGAACTAGCAGAAAGAGAAATTAAGAAAACAATCCCATTTATAATTGCATCAAAAAAGAATAAAATACCTATCAACAAATTTAATCAATGAAAAACCTATACTGTGAAAAATGCAAAACACTGATGAAAGAAATTGAACACAACACAAATAAATTGAAAATATCCCATATCCACAGATAGGAAGAATTACTCTTGTTAAAATGGCCATACTATCCAAAATAATCTACAGATCCAATGCAATCCCTATCAAAATACCAATGACATTTTCTACAGAGCTGGAGCAAATAATCCTAACATCTGTATGGAACCACAAAAGAACCTGGAAAGATAAAGCAATCTTGAGAAAGAAGAAAAAAGCTGGAGATATCATACTGCCTGATCTCAAAGTATATCATAAATCTATAGTAATCAAAATAGTAATGGTACTGGGCACAGAAACAGACACATAGACCAGTGGAACAGAATAGAAAGCCCAGAAATAAACACATTTAGGTGGTCAATTAATCTGTGACAAAGGAGGCAAGAATATATAATGGGGAAAAGACAAAGTCTCTTCAACAAAAGGTGTTTGGAAAACTGGACAGCTACATGCATTGTAGCTGATCATTGTCTTACTCAATACACAAAAGTAAATTTGAAATGGATTAAAATCCTAAATATAAGACCTGAAACCATAAAACTCCTAGAAGAAAACACATGGGCAGTAAAATCTTGAACATCAGCATTAATAATTTTTTTCTAGATATGTCTCCTCAGGCAAGAGAAACAAAAGCACAAATGAACAAGTGGGACTACATGGTACAGCAAAGGACACCATCAGCAGAATGAAAGGCAACCTACATATGGGCGACTATATTTGCAAATGACCTATTTGATAAGGGGTTAATATCCAAAATATATTTTTAAAAACTTACCCAACTCAACACCAAAACTCAAATAATCTTATTTTAAAATGGGCAGAGGACCTGAGTAGACATTTTTCAAAGAAGGCATACAGATGGTCAACAGACATATAAAATGATGCTCCACATCACTAATCATCAGGGAAATACAAATCAAAACCACAATGAGATCACCTCAGACCAGTCATAATGGCTAATATCAAATAACCAAGAAATAACAAGTGTTGCGAAAGGGTGTGGAGAAAGGGAGCCCTCCTATACTGTTGATGGTAATGTAAATTGGTACAGCCACTATAGAAAGCAGTATGGAGGTTTCTCAAAAAGTTTAAAAAAAAGAAATACCATATGACCCAGCAATTTCCACTTCTGGGAATCTACACAAAGAAAACAAAATCACTAATTTGAAAAGATATATGCACCCCTATGTTTACCATGGTATTATTTACAAGGTCAAGATATGGAAGCAACCCAAGTGTCTATCAGTAGACAATAAAGATGTGGTACATGTATACAACGGAATATTACTCAGTCATAATAAAGAATGACATTTTTGCTGTTTGCAAGAACATGGATGAACCTAGAGAGTATTATGCTGAGCTTAATAAATCAAAGAAAAATGAATATCATATGGTTTCACTTATGTGTGGAATCTGAAAAAATAAATGAACAAAACAGAAATAGACTCTTAAACACAGAATGGACTGTTGGTTACCATTGTTGTGGGGGAAGGGAGAGAAATGGGTGAAGGGAACAAAAAGGTACAAATTTCAAATTATAAAATGAATTAGTCACAGGGATGGAAATACAGAATAGGGAATATAACTAAAAGTATTCTAATATATTTGTATAGTGACAGATGCTAACCACATGTGCCATATGAGCATTTAGTAATGTATATAATTGTCACTATGTTGTTTATATGAAACCAATATTGTATATCAAAAGAATAAGAGTAGTTACCTATGGGGTGAGAAGAAAAACGGGATAAGGCAGGGGCACAGAAGTCCTTACAAGGTTTTACATGTTAAAAAAATATTTATGCAGTGATAGCAAAGTACTGACATTTTTAAAATGTGAGCAAACACTATTACTCCTACTTTCTACTTATTTGAAATATTTCATAAATACATATAAGAAAACTTCACATAAAAATTTGAGTACAATGAGCACAAAGGTCTACCTGAAAGTGTAGTTGCCATACTAGGTGTTAATACAAACTGATTTTCTATATAAATAGGCAAAATTTCAGATGCTCCAATAGTAATTAAAGATTCTGAAGCTTTGGACAGAGTTAAGCACAAAAACACTGGATTCTTCACTAGAATCTGAAACAGAAAGAAGTTACATATGACTTATTTTCTTTTGTTAGGTAAAGAAGAATAGATTTATCCACTCATATGTTAATGACCAATCAGTCAAAATCTTACCTTTCTCAATCTATACTGAGATACATATATGTAAAAATCCAACCAGAAATGTAATGCTTGAAACATTTTTATTTATAATTTGATTGCTATACCACCTATAATTTTCATTTGTGAATCTGGAAGTTTGCTAGAAAGATCAAGGAAGAATAGATGTCATAAACCAAGTATCTAGAATTTCCTTTTGCTTTTGTTTATCAGGTTTTTTTTCTTAGCAAATATTTATATTTAACTAAAAAAATGAAAGAAAATTTAAGCAACATTTGAGGAAAATCACTAGGATTGAAGTCAAGTTTCTGTAATATTTTACTCCTGGAAATTCTACATAAAGAGTGAAGTCATTCAAATTGTACATTTCAGTAATTTTTTTAACTTATTCACAAGCCTTATTAGGATACATAGTGATGGTTTACTATTACCTATTTTGCTATTATACTATGCACAGTAATTAACATGATAGTAAATTACATTAAAATATTTACTTTATAACTAATTTCAGTATTTCCTGGATATGTATATGTGTGTGTGTGTGTATAAAATATATATATATATTTGAAAATATTTAGTGGTATTTCATGTTTGTGTATTTTTCAATTAATTTAAATTTTCTTTTTATATCCACAAACACTATTTTTAAAATCTAGTCATATTCTGCATTCATAAAATTAATCTTCTGAGTACTACCTAACTTTACATAGAACGATTCCACCATCCAGTTAAATACTTCAACTCCCTACTGTCACAAACTTATATAAACAAGGTTTTAAAGAACCCTATGCATGTACACTTAAAAACCTAGGGTAGAGTGCCTTTGGAGGTGTATCTCCTAGAAAGAGACCACTAGGAATTGGGATTTGGAATACTTTATTCGATTATTTCTCCAGATTTTTTCCTCCAGAATGTATCAGCTGACATTCCCACCATAATGTAGGAGGGTTCCATTTTTTTTATGTAGCAAATTATACTTTCTAAAATTCTTCAAAGCAACATTTCCAATTCTACATCCCTTTTCCAGAATTTTGCCGTTCTCCCATCAAGAGGCCCTGAACTTGGAAAGGCCTTTATGACTGCCTCAAGAAAGCAAGTAACACTGCATGACTTGTGATGCTGGGTCATAAAATGACAGTATGACTTCTGCTGAGAACTCTCACTCACTCAGGACTCTGTCCTTGGAAATCAGCCACCATGTAGAGAGACAGCCCAAGCCAAATGGAGAGTTCCCGTAGGGGTGTTCCAGTAAACGGCTAGTTAGTATCAAAAGCTGATCGTGGAGTGAATGAGCCCTCAACTGACTTCATCCCCAGCCTTCAATCCTTCCAGCTGACCACAAGTAGAGCTGAGAGGAGCAAGCCCTGACCAAGTATATTATAAAGAGAAAACTTTCTAAAACAACACCCAAATTATACTGCCTTTTCAATTCTTATCCCACTTTAATCCATTTTATACAAAGTCATGTTTTAAAGTTCTTAAAACAAAATTCATATTGTGTTCATATTATTATCTTAGTTAAAATATATTAGTGACTTCCTACTGCATTAAGAATAAAATCTAAAGTTCTTAACCATGCCTGATAAGGACCTTCATGAGCTAGCCTCTGCTTCTCTCTCCAACCTATTATTCTGTCACTTTCCCCATCAAGTAACTATGCTCCAAACACACAAGTCTTCTCTAAACTGAATAAACCCAAATCTTTACTGCCTCAAGGTCTTTCCATATATGTCCACTTGGTATTTTCTTAATGACCATTCTTCACATAGCTAACTCCTTTTCGTGGTTTAGCTTCCTCCATTTAAGTGTTCCCTGATCGGTGAAGCCTTCTTTACTTCGTATCTAAAGTAGGTTTAGCATAGAATTTTCTCAGTTGTTAATCAGTTGTTTTTAATCTGTGTGTGTTTGTTTGTTTCTAATCTGAGACCCATATAAGAACATAAATTCCATAAAGGCATGGGAATTGTTACTACTATATATTATACTTCAATGTCTAGGACACAGTGACACTACACAACAAAAAAGAGATGTATAAGAGTAACTAAAATAATCATTTATATTGTATTACTATGTGCTAGGCACTGTCTAAACACCTTACATATATTAATACATTTAATCCTAAGCACTTATGCAAGGTATACACTATTATTACCATCATTTTATAGGATAAAAACTAAGGCAAAAAATAATAATGTCCCCCAAACATTTTAGTATCCTTTTAAATGGTGGGCTTCAACAATTGTTAACTTGTTCTCACTTAGAAATTACTTTGGTATGCCTCTATCAGTTGCATTGAAATAATAGTCTACATTTTTTAAAGGGTAACAAGTTATTCCATTTCAACTACACACCAACTCTTATTTGATAAATTGAAAATAAGAATTTCTCAAATTATTGTTTACGTAAAGTCAAAGTGGGCTTAAAAGCAAGGCAACTTCACTTCTGACTACTGCTTTTCTTTTGGCCACCTTGGTCAATGTCAAAATGTTAAGAATACCACAAGGTTATATATGGCTTTCCTAATCTTCCTTCTTCCTGGGACAAACACCTATCATGCACTAAACATACAAACCAATAACATTAATACGGAACCTGCTCTGTAATTGTGCTTTCAGAATTAAAGTAGAAAGGTCTCTGATAAACTAGATCAGTGATTCTAAAAGTATAGTCCTAATATCCAGAGTTTTGAAATGGTTGTGACAATTTTGCCATTTTCAACCACTGTGTTTTTGGAGGTGAAGATTTTCCAAGCTCCTCACTCTTGACATTCTGGAAGTCCCACCTTCTAATAAACTTTTAAAAGGATTAAGATATCTTCTAGGTATCCACCAGGTAACATGTTACCTTCTGACTGGTATTAGACAAAAGTTTAAGACTGTTACTTGGGCATTCTGTTCTTTTGTGTCTTAACCATAATAATGCAAGCATTCTATTTCCAGGAGATATAAATATTGGAATTGGCTTGGTATTCTTTCTTACCTGGCAGTATTGTTAAAAAAAAATTGTGTTTAAATTTTCTGAAAACTGTTTTTTTTTTTATAAATGTATCTTAATTTGAACAACTTGAAAGAGTATGCCTAATTTATTTCCATTCTGTTAAAATATATACATGTGGTATTTTGGTAAAAATGAAAATTAAATAAAAATCTGAATGAAATATAATTCATTACTGGGAAGGATTCATGATTTTTAAAAAAGATAAACACTTTTGCACTTGAATGAAAAGAAGTAAACATAATTTTTAAACTTATACAACATACCTATTCACTTTAAGAAAAATTAGACTAATATAATAAAAAAGCAATATCTGTATATATCCCATATATACATATATAATTATCTGTTATGTTATATTTTGAACAAAGATCCATGAAAGCATTGAGGGAGAAACTCACTTGGCCTAGGAAGCTAAGATTTGACAAAGAGGTTTTTTTCTTCAAAAGGAGAAGAGAGAGAAGGACATTTGAAATAGAAAGATTGCCATCTACAAAGGTACAAAGCTATAAAAGTACTTAACATGCCCAGGAACAAGCAAGTACAGGTGCTGGAATGTGGGGAAGATAAGGATAAAATTCTGAGATAATATAGGAAAATTTAGCTGATGCTATCATGAAGGGTCTTAAAATCCCACTGAAAGAATATGAAATTCATCTACTAAGTGATCTGGAAAATGACTTGATAAAATCTACATGTGAGAAATACAATGCCTCAGGCAAAATAAAGGATGAAGTTACAAGTAAGAGAAGGGAAAAGATATTGAATATAAAGTTACTATTTAGAAGTTGAGCTTTGTTTTTTTTTAACCACACTCTGTCTGTGTTGTGGGCCTTGTTTCTCACCTAAAGAGAGTTCTCCATTGATATTGAGATGAGATAGTTCCCATAAAACATGGTGTTTGTGAGAATACCTATTAACTTCTAGAGTTCTATGTCATTTAAGCATAATAAAAAGATGTTAATACTTGCACATCATCTCATTAAATGTCTTATTTATTTATGCAAAGAAAAAACAAACACAAAATAATATAAAGGTAAAATTAAAAGAAAAAGAAGAAGGAAAATACTTGGCACCAGTCTCTGACAGTGGTAAGGTCTTGGCAATACCACTTAGATAAGGTGGGTCGTATTTTCCACTATCCGTAAAATGAGTGTGTTAATTAAGACGTCAAAAGTCCAACTCAGATTTAAGTTTAACACTTTGTAGTTGTTTTCTTACATCCACTTTTACAATGTTATAAAGGTCAACTTAATTGTCTCATTCATGTAAAATATTTTACTTTACCCAAATAGCGGCAAATAAATCCTTCATACTAGTTCCAAATTCCCGATCTTCAAACTTGTGAAACAAATTAGGCTGTTCAGGTTTTCTGGCTTTTATCTTTGCTGTACCTGTATGTTAACAAGTAAAAGAATCTCATGCCATGTTCAAATAACAAAAACATATGCATAAACATACATATATATCCTAATAAACCCAGTTTGTCTTGGAATAGCAATTGAGATATTTTTGAACAAGCTAAAGTCAGCCTAATTAAGTAGAAGGCACATTTTTCTAAAACAGTGCCATCCTAAAGAACATTCTATGATAGTAAAAATTTTCCATATCTGTATTGTCCAATACCACAGCTATGTGCTATATATGACTGTTAATACTTGAAATGTAGATCCTGTAACTAAGTAAATAGATTTCTAAATATATTTAATTTAAAATTTACATAGCCACATGTGGTAGGTGACTACAGTATTTGACAGCACAGCCCAAAGTATAAAAGAGTAATCTTTGATATTACTAGAAATATTTTCTGCCAAAAAATATACTACCATTAGGAGAATATTTTATTTCTCTAATGTTACATGTATTTTTTTAGGGTTTCCAGGAAAATTTTAAGAGGTATTATTTTATCTTGAAACAATTCTATGAAGTGTAGTACATGTGTTAAATAATGCTCGGTAAATAGATTAAAATACACATTTTTTTTAAAAAAGAAAATTTATGAAATCTATATACAAAGCATATTTTAAAGGAATGACAAGAAGCAAGACTCTGTACTAATGGAAGCCTGGTACATAAATGAAATAATATTTGGCCACATGTGGCTTCATTTGTTCATAGCCAGCACATGTCAGTTATATCTATGGCAAAAAGAAATGTAGTTCAGCCATATTCTAAGAATGGGGGAAGGGGGTTGGGATAAGGAACCTACTGTCCTTTAATTTAGTGAATTATATTTTTATAGTCACCTTGTATATTGTGTGGAAAGCATGACAATGGTATTAATGTAGACCATGCAATAACTGAGACAAAAACAAAACGAATCCACCAAGTCCGCAGCCAGTATTGATTATCACTGTTTTCAATGCTTTAACAAAGAAAAAAGAAAATTTTCAATTTTGTGTATTTTATTACAAACAAAGCCATAATCAGGGCAAGAAAGTAATATAAGGGGGGTAAGGAGAACAGAACATTTTCTGTTAAATTGTCCCTATATTGTTTGTTTTACAGAGAGTGAATGGTTTTAAGTTCTCCAGTAGCTCTTTTGTCCTGCAGGATCCTAAATTTTCCCTTTTCCTTCTTTTCCCCTGTCTGCTCAGATGGCAAAGAGTAATTCTTTTTCCTTTTCAACTTTTTTCTCCAACAGAAGCCATGCATTTGGAAAACCATCCCTGTAAGTCTAACCTCTCCTGCCCCTTTAAAATCATGCACTCAGCCCATTAGGAAAAGGCTGGACCTTTAAATTTCATGATCAACCCTTTAATCTGGCATCTAACCTTTTAAATCACATATACTTTGAAATCTCATTCTTAACAGTCCCTTCTTTGGTAACTCTCAAATTGAGGATGAAGTATGCTTCTAGTTATCATATCTAATCACCCTTAGGGGCCCTTGTTAGCCTTTGTCTTCTGTCTTCCCTGCAGTTTCTCTTGGTCTTCCTTTGCAAACCACAAAGCCTTATAGTGGGTAGGGTGTGACAGGAATGTGGAGGATTATGCACTGAGATTCCTTGGTTTTCTCCTTTACTCACTGTTACTTTGCACTTTCAGCTTTCCTTGTCTTCCATAATACTGAGGCCATCATTTTGCAGAGAATTTTCATGGTTGTGAAGTTATTTGGTATCATTGGGAGGAGATTTGGGGAAGTTGATTACTACATGGCTGCCACACACACTTAAAACCTTGTCCAACCATCCATCACTGGAAAATGCCCACATCTGCAGGCACTACATTTGGAGGTGCTGGTTTCCCACTGGTAACTCTACAGCCAGCAAACCTGGTGAGTAGCTTGCTTATATGCCTTGTCTTTCATGGAATGTGTAGAATATTCATTCTAAGTTTTATTCAGTTTTCTTCATTGATGGGTCAACTTATCCATTGCTACATTATTCAGGAATACAAATTGCAACTTGCAATGACACAGGTTTGCAATCTTGATTTCCATTATCAAATAGGCATATATATCTGAATATGCTATGCACAGGGAATTTCAACTCCACAGACTGTCACTAGGCCTGTGTTTCCTTATTGATTATCATATTCACAATTTTTCTTTTTGCTTTTGAACCCAGCTATGTATTCTAAGTACATGAATTATAATTATTAAATATGTGTAAATAATTAAGTACCTAGATGACTGAAGTAAATAAACTAAAAAAGCTACAAAGTTAAGCAAAGAATTTATTAGAGTGATTTATATATATGACACACTCAGAAATCAATAGATTTTTTCCTTCTACTAGAAATAATTGGTTAGGATATGTAATAATATAAATATTTTATGCACACTACTAACAAAATGCATGAAATTACTAGGAATAAGATATATGGGCTATTTTCAATACAAAAAAATCATAAACCTTATTGAAAAGCATAAAAAAGAAACAGAAAATTGAACAATATATCATATTCTTGCATGGAAACATAACTATTATTCCCAATTTGACAGATTCAAGTATTTCAAATCAAAATACTTTGACTGTAACCTCAGATGATCAAATTTATTTAGAAAGGTAATTCTGCAAAATTATCCCATGATTTTTAATGAATAATAATGAGTAGGAATTTATCCAACCAAATAGCCAATTATATGATAAAGCCTTAGTTATTAAAACATTGTAGTATTGACATGAAAATATCAAGGAACACATTAGAGAGCCAAAAGCCAAGAAGAAAACCTATGTATATAGGGAAATATTTAATTTATGATAAAGATGGTGTTAAATATCAGTAAAGAAATAATTAAATTAAAAAACACATGAAATAAATGGCAACACTACAATTAGATATCCCTTTGAGGGAAAAATAGAAGCTGCACAGCATTCATATTATGCAAAAGTAAACTGAAATTTGATGTTAAATTTAAATGTATAATCAAAACCAGACAAGGACACAAGAAAAGAAAACTACAGGCCAATATCTGTGATGAACAAAGATGCAAATATCCTCAACAAAATATTAGCAAACCAAATTCAACAATACATTCAAGGAACAAAATCAAGTGAGATTTATTTCAGGGATGCAAGATGGTTCAACATCCACAAATCAATGTGATACAGGACATTAACAAAATGAAGGATAAAAGCAATATGATCATGTCAGTTGATACAGAAAAGTATTTGATAAATTCTAACATCCATTCATGATACAAACTCTCAACAAAGTGGGTATGGAGGGAACATACTTCAACATAATAAAGACCACAGATGACAAGCCATAGAAAAACATCATACTCAAGTGTAAAAAGCTAAAAGCTTTTCCTCTAAGATAAAAAATAAGACACTCTCACCAGTATTATTCAACATAGCATAGGAAGTACTAGCCAGAGCAATTAGATAAGAAAAGGGAATAAAAGGTATCCAAATCAGAGAGGAGTAAGTAAAATTATCTCTGAGAATGACATGACGTTATATATAGGAAACCTTTAAGACTCCACCACAAAACTATTGAGGGCATCAAGCCATGACACCATTGTATCATGCCATCTATTTCTGGATATGGGGTACAGAGTAAGAGTAGTTATCATACCGTCACACTTCCTTTGTCTTAAAAACATTGCTCCCTCTGGTCAGAGGCAATCTTGTGTCAGCACAGGAATGAATATAGCATCTGTAAGTCTTTGAATAGTACTACTAACAGAAGCACTGTAGTAGATTTGTAGAAGACTTGTAGATGAGTAAATGAATATTTGTGTCGTCCCCAAATTCATATGTTGAGATCCAATCCCCAGTGTGATGGTATTAGGAGGTGGAGGTCTCTGGAAGGTGATTAGGTCATGAGGGTAGAAACCACATGAGTGTGATTAATTACCTTATAAAAGAGACCCCAGAGAGCTCTCTTGCCCTCTAGCCATATAAGGACAAGGGAGAAGAGGGCTCTCTGTGAAGCAGGAAGCAGGATCTCACTAGACAGCAAATTTGCTGGCACCTTGATCTTGCACTTCCCAGCTTCCAGAACTGTGAGAAATAAATTACTATTGTTTATAAGCCCAGCCTATGCTATTTTTGTTATAGCAGCCTGAATGGACTGACATAGTAGAGAAGAAAAACTTCTGCCTAGGATATATATCCTTCCCTGAAGACAAATTTCCTCTATGTTAAAAAATAAAGACCAATGCAATCAACCTGATGACAGCTTGTCACCCAATGAGTGTGTCATATCAGGGACTCAGGGTTGACCTCTCCTGTTGATCAGCTGGATATTCAGCAACTCATATCCTGGTGAATATTCTTGATGAGAAATTGTCCTTAGTGTAAAGCAGCACATGTTATTACATTCAAGCAAAGTCACCATCACTGTCACCATGGCCACTTTTTATGGCTTATTGAAGAAGAACTCGAGTGATTAAAAAAAAAAGAGAAAGAGAGAGGCTGACTGACATTAACAGGATGTATCATCTTGTCCAACTGAGTAAAGAGCTTCCTCCAAAGTATCCACCATCTTCATGTGCCCATTCCAAGAGGTTCACCCACATATTCTCCTTATTACCTGTTATCTTGTTCTAAGTCCCTGGCTACCCAACAATAAATCAGTATAAATTTATACCTATGCTAAGGTATAGTCCTTCTATGCTAAGTGGACACCAGCCTGAAGTTCTACTTACTAGAAGGATTTCCAATATTTCAAGGTCACTGTTGAGTGGACTGCTAATTATAGTGGACATCCCCTTTCTCATCTCAATGACAGAACTTAATATTCACACTCTTAAATGTCTCCTTTTACTTGGGAATGTTCTCTAGTATTAAAAGAAGCCATATGACCAAGAAGTCTTAAAATCACTTTTGTCACATGAATGATTAAATGTTACAATTACTTCACTTCCAAGTCTTGCCTTCCCCTGGACTTAATCCCATTCCACAATTTACAACTTGTGATCATTTTAGAACTATGTCCAATTTATCCACAGCAAGGAGGTTCTCTGTGCATATAATATGCAGTCTAGCTCTGGAATCCTATTGCTACATCTGATACTATTTTTAGGATCAATCAGAATTCGGGTAAAAAAAGAAATCGTAGATAATTTGAAAAGAGATACTTTGAAGAGAGAGTGACAAGGAGACTATTCCTAGTGGTGTAGGCAGAGTTTTAAAAAGTGAACAAATCATAGTATAAAATTCCAGGCTAGCAACAGCAGCAAGTTGTTACCATAGGCCTGAATGTCAAGTGAAACAGTGCTTAATAAATGGAGAAGGCAGCCTAAAAGGAGCCAAGGCCTTCAGGATAGGGGTACAGCCAATCTGGGTACAACCCTCTCAGGAAGGGAACTGGGAGGATAAATGCCCTAGCCTTAATATGCTCCTGTCCTCTCATGTGACAGTGCCTCTCATTAGCCAAATCCAACTGAAATCCAGAATTCAGGGCTTATGTTGAGGCGCTCAAACAGGTAAGCCTTCTGGGGCAGAGAAAAGAGTAGGGAAGGTTCAGAAAAATGGAGAGTGATTTTAGAGAACCAAACAGAATATATCCAACAAACAGCTTATTTTCTGACCCCTTATATATCCCCCTTTATGATTTTGTCTAGCAGCTTCCAAAACTTCACACTAGCCAGGTAAGAACCCAGATGAGCTGGCAGAAGAGCTTCCAGATAGTATCTGCAGCAATAAATAATTACAGAATTAGTTGGATAATTAGCAATACATAAGAAGAACTCGTTGGCTTCTGTTCACAGTTTTTATTAGTTCTAACTTGACATAAACCTGGACTTTCAGAAATGGAGAGTGGACCTCTCTGTTTTAATTGTAGTGGTAGATTATGTCTCTTTCATTAACTCTGTTATATCAATTAGAGAACCAGAAAAGGCAAGAAGTCACTTCTGGTACCATTTCCCAATATATAATTAAGCACAACTTTAAAAATACATATTTTATAGCAGAAGGAAGGAAATAATAAAAATTAGAGCAGAAATAAATGACATAAAATTAGAAAAACAATAGAGAAAATCAACAAAACTTAGAGTTTATTTTTTGAAAGAAAAAAACAAAATTGGTAACCCTTTAGCTAGACTAAGAAAAATAGAAGACTCAAATGACAAAAACCAGAAATGAGAGACTTAACAACTGATGCCACAGAAACAAAAAGAATCAAGCAGACTACTATGAACAATTACATGCCAACAAATTGGCATGTAGAAGAAATGTACACATTTTTTAGAAATACACACCCTATTAAGACTGAATCATGAAGAAGTAAAATATCTGAACAGACATATAACTAGTAAGGAGATTAAATCAACAATCAGAAACCTCCCAACAAATAAAACCCAGGACCAGATAGCTTCACTGGAGACTACCAAACATTTAAAGAAGAATTAATACCATTCCTTTTCAAATTTTTCCATAAAATTGAAGGGTGGGGAACACTTCCAAAATCATTTTATGAGGCCAGTATTATCCTAATAGTGAAATCAGATCAAGATACTACAAGAAAATAAAACTACAGATTAATATCCCTAGTGAATGTTGACATAAAAATCAACAAAATACTATCAAACCAAATTCAACAACACTCTAAAAAGATTATACATCATGATCAAGTGAGATTTATTCCTGGAATTCAAGGGTGATTCAACACATGAATATCAGTGTAATATACCACATTAACAGAATGAAAACAAAAACCACATGATCAACCCAATTGAGGCAGAAAAAGCATTCAACAAAGTTCAATGCCTTTTTATTATAAAAACAATCAACAAAGTAGGAATACAATGAAATTACCTAAAGATAATAAAAGCCATGTATATGAAAAGCCCACAGCTAACATCATACTCAATGGTGAAAAATTAAAAGCTTTCCCTCTAAGATCAGGAAAAAAACAAAGATGCCTATTCTCACCACTTCTATTTAACATACTACTGGAAGTTCCATCCACAATGATCAAACAAGAAAAATAAATAAATGACATCCAAATTGGAATGGGAGAAGTAAAATTATCTCTGAATATGACATGATCTTATTTTTAGAAAATGTTAGATTCCACAGAAAAAAAATTTTGGAACTAATAAGTGAATTCAGCAAAGTGGGAGGAAACAAAATCAACACAAAAATCACGGGTGTTTCTATATACTACCAATGAATAGTATACAAGGTGAAAGATTTGTACACTGAAAACCATAAAATGTTGCTGAAAGAAATAAAGAAAAAACAAATAAATGGAAAAACATCTGTGTTCATGGATTTGAAAACTTAAGATTGTTAAAATGCTCTTACTTTGCAAAATGACATACAGATTCAAAGCAACCACTATCAAAATCTCAATGGAGTATTTTTCAGAAACATTAAACAAATCCTAAAAATACATACAGGATTTCAAAAGATCCCAAATAGCCAAAACAATCTTGAAAAAGAAAAACAAAGTTGGAGGCTTCACACTTCCTGATTTCAAAATATATTAAAAAGCTACAGTAATCAAAACAGTACCATACTATTATAAAGATATATGTAGACCAGTGGAACTGACTAAGGACCCCAGAAATAAACTCTAATAAATATGGTGAAATAATCTTTGACAAGGGTGATAAGAATACACAATGGGAAAATGATAGACTCTTCAACAAATGGTTCTGGGAAAACTGGATATCCACATGCAAAAGAATAGAGATGTACCCTTACTTTACAAGATATATGAAAAACAACTCAAAATACATTAAAGATCTAGACATAATACTGAAACAAAAAAGTCCTAGATGAAAACATGGCAGGGGGAGCTTCATGACAGTGGATTTGGCAATGATTTCTTTATATGGCACCAAAAACACAGGCAACAAAAACAAAATTAGACAAAGGGAACTACATCAAACTTTAAAACTTTGCAGCAAAAGAAACAATGAAGGGAGTGAAAATTAGATGGGAGAAAATACTTGCAAATCATGTATCTGATAAAGACCTGATATCCAGAATATATAAAAAACTCCAACTCAACAATAACAAATACAGTTTTAAAATAGGCAAAGGACTTGAATATTTTTCCACAGAAGATATATAAATGCCCAACAAGTATATGAGGACATGCAAAACATCACTAATCATGAGGGAAATGAAAATTAAAACCACAATGAGGTATCACCTTATACCTGTTAGGATGGTTCTGGAAGAGGAGAGAGGAGGAGACAAGAAGGGAGGGGAGGAGAGGAAAGAAAAGATCTGGTGTTGGCAAGGACCTTGAGAAATAGTGAGAGTTTAAATAATACACCACTAAAGAAACAGTATAGAAGTTCCTTAAAAATACTAAAAATAGAATTGCCATATGATCTAGCAACCCCATTTCTGGGTCTGTATTCAAAAGAATTGAAACAGAATTTCAAAGAGATATTTACTCATCCATGTTAACTGCAGCATTATTCACAATAGCTAATAGGTGGATGTAACCTAAATGTCCATCAACAGAAGAATGTATAAAGAAAATGGTACATATGTACATTGGAATATTATGTAGCTTTTAAAAAGGAAATACTGTCATATACTACAACATGGAGGAACTTTGAGGACATTATGCTAAGCAAAATAACCCACTCACAAAAAGACAAATACTGCATGATTCTACTTCATATATGTGAATAAAGTACTAAAACTCTTAGAAACAGAAAGCAGAATGGTGGTTGCAAGGGACTAAGAAGAAGGGGAAAAGGGGAGTTGTGCAATGGATATATAGTTTCAGTTTTGCCAGATAAAAACTTCTAGAGATCTAATGCACAACAATGTGCCTTCAGTTAACACTACTGTACTGTATACACTTAAAAGTGGTTAAGATGGCAAATTGTATGTGTTTTTTTACCATAATTTTTTAAAAGCTATATGTAGAATTAAAAAGATTTCATTATAAGCAGTGTTTTAAAAATTATCAAGCAATAAAGATAATGTATATTTTAGATGTATTTATATATACATGCATATATCAGCCACATTAAATATTTTCTAAAAATATGGTTATTATAAATAAAATATATTTATAAGCTATAGTAGTTATCCAATAGATATCTTATACAATTAAAAAAAAGAGTACCTTTTCTCAAAAGTACTATTCTCAGAAGCCTTAATTAGGGGTGCTCCTATTGCATACCCCAAAGAATATCCGATTATTACTGAAGCTTCCACGAAGCCTATAAAATGAAAAGAGAACATTGAACAACTATATAAGCCAGCTTTGTCATAAGACAAAAAAAAATGGATTTCTGCTGAAAGTTTCTAACATACTTAATCAAGGTTCTCCAGAAACACAGGACCAATAGGATATTAAGAGAGAGATTTTAAGGAATTGGCTCATACAAGCATAGGGCCTGGTAAGTCCAAATTCATAGGGCTGGCTGTCAGGCTGAGAATCCAGGGAAGAGTTAATGTTGCTGGAAAAACTCAGGCAAAGTTTCTGTGTAGCAATCTGGAGACAGAATTGCTTCTTTGGGAAACCTCAATTTTTACTCTGAAAGGCTCCATCTGATTAAATGAGGCTTACCCACATTGCAGAGGGTAATTGCTTTAATCAAAGTCTACTGATTATAAGTGTTAGTCACACCTAAAAAATATCACAGAAACATCTAGACTGGTGTGTGACCGAACAACTGGATGCCATAACCTAGCCAAGCCAAGCTAACAATACAATTAACCATCACACATACTATACAATGCTTGTATTAAAGAAACTCAGATAATACTTATACAATTCACGGTGCTTTATTTAACCTATTTATTTAATGTAAATAAGTAATTTACATTTAATATAAACATAAATTCAATATACCTTATTTTACTTTAATTTATGGCACTAAAATAAAATGATACTTTAACATAATCATGACCTTTGCATCCTTCACCTTGGCTGCTGGGTGGCAGGAGATGGCAATAAAGTAAACTTTCTCTCTGTAACATGTAGACATGTACTTTAATGCTATTCAGTAGAACCAAAAGTAAAACACCCTTAGCCAACACTAATAAATCACTACAATTTTTTTTTCTAAAATCAAACATAAATGCGAATATCATCTATTGTAGTTCAGTGACATAACTTTCCTTACCTATGGTGGAAAATGATTATTTTGTTGCAACATGCTATTTTGCAGTCACCTTCACCATAGGCATATAAACACAACTTTAAATTTCTTTACAAAAATATAGTTTTGGGGGCTGAGGGGATAAGTGAAAAAGGTAAGGGGGGAAAAAGAAAATAGGATGTTTGATATCTTGATCTGGGCTATGGCACATGGGTGTATATATGTCAAAATTCATTAACCTGTACACAGAGATTTGAGAATTTAAAAAAATGTAGTTAGATAACCCTGTACAAACAGGTGATCTACCAGGACCAGAAGCTACTGCAATATGAGGAAGTCAGATTATTCTGATACACCCCAGGGTTCCTTATTGTAGGATACAATAGCACAAAACACTGCAGTACAGGACACTACTCTGTAGTCGATTAAATAACATATCACTTCTCTCCATGATAAAATGAACAAGATTATGTTTTCAAACAATCAGAGCTCCCCAAAAAGATTGAGTTAATGTGTGTAAAGAGCTTAGTGCAATCAACACCACACTGACTCTAGTACTGAGAAGGCATAAAATAATGTTTCTATCCCCTTATGAACATCATGGCAGCAACTCTCCACCTATATCCCCAAGTTTAATTGTACAATTACTCAAGCAATTCAACCTAATAATTTGAGATTTTTCCTAGAGAAATGAACTGTATGTAGCCTATATAGTTTTACATAACTAATATATATGAAAAGAGTATAATTTTTACTACTTAAGAAAATATGTATTTTTCCTTTTGATCTTTACTTTTCAGTGACCTTCAGATGACTTGTCTACAATTCCAAATTTCAAGCAGCTGCTCAATGTGGTTTTAGTTAAGCATACCAGTTATCATTTATTACAATGTTACTGTAAGGACCAATAATTAGCGCCGATAACTTGTGTTATCAGTTCAGATACTTACACCAAAATATAGAAGCTCAATAAGAGTTCAAAATGGGCCAATCACATTAGAGTGGAAAAAAAAAACTTGCCTAGATAAATACCAGCTGAATGGGTGGCAACACTGTTATCAAGAAAAGCCACTCCAAGGATATAAAGAGGAATTGCTGCTATTCCCTGCACAGTCTGCCCAAGGATGAAGAAAGGTACATATTTTGATTCGAGTGATGATTTCTTGCAAGGTATGACAATCTTCTTTTCTTGGCAAATATCTTTTGAAAAGATAATTATATTTTTGTTAAATAAGTCAAAGGTAAACATGCAACAGATATATAGCACTTTTTTGAAATATTTCACCCTTCATAAGCTATTTCCACCTTTAAGCTTTTTCTTTTAGTTAACCTTTCATTTACATTGAATGGAGTAGTTCTACAATCAACCATCATGTTCTCAGAAAAATGCAATGATAAAAGAAAATATGTCGGAAACTGGAAAAGATGCACAAATTAAAAAACCAAACATAAATGTGTATGCATGGTTATATGTATATACACACTTAAGTGTACAGAAGTATAGGTACATATACACAGACACATAGCACATATGCACACATACTCCTAAATTTGGCATCTGGTACCCCTGACTTTTGGCCCCAGGATAAAAGTATTTCTAATGTTCTAGATTATCTGAATCATTAAAGACTACCTTCTGAAGTTAGTTCTATAGCCACTTTTTCAGCAATCTTCACATCAACTTTCTGTCATTCTGACTAAATAATTTCCCATTTTAGACTCACTAACTTGTAGAACAGAGGTTCATAAGGACAAGGCTTTATTATACAATCAGAGCTTCTGTTAGTCATTATATGGTAACCCACTAGACTTTAAATTCCATTAAGTGACACTCTATTTCTTGTGCTTTTATTTATTCACATGGTTATAGAACTACAGTAAATAAATGTTTGTTACAATTGCATTTGTTATTAGATTGGTGGATCCAGGCAATGCTATTAGATAATTCTGATTGTGCCCATCTTCATTAGAATTTAATAAATGCTCTTAACTTTTTAGGTGGAAAACTAGTTAAAGTGTAGACTGCAAAATAGTACACTACTGGAAATTTCCAGCTGGTGTAATATCCATGTGAATTATATTTGACTCCATGTCAGATGGGAGGAGGTCTGTAGACTTGTAATCAAAATATTGATGATTCATTTTTACATAAACATATTAACTTGTGATGGTATTAGGATCAATGTGGTATTTCCCATGTGAAATGCCTCTTAGTCCCTTGAACTTCTCTTCCATGTACTTGTTCTCCACTTACATTAGCTACTCATTTTAAACTTAAAAAAAATTACAAACCTTCCTTAATTGCATTTTTAAGCATCCTACACTCAAACCATCCCTATCTTTCCAGTTCACTTCTTCCAGTAACGCTATTCCAATAATCCTCAAAACCCACTAGAACCTATATTCCATTGATCTTGCTCCTTTCACTATCTCAGTAACTCACTTAGGTGCTTAGTTCTCTAATTATTATCTTAACACTTTTAAATCCCTTGCTGTCTTTCATATTGTTCAATCCTTTGGCAAAATTGCAACCTTAGTCAAATGAACTCTTCTTCCGTACTCTACACCTACTCTACACCTACACTTTTAAAGCTGCATGTAGCTGGAAAGAAACAGTACCACCCAATTCTCACTTTGAATTCATGATCACTGAACTCAAGGAGGTCATCCACCCTTCTAGTAATCAGATGCATCCCTAGTCTACTACTCCTCCTTCTCCTAGTAAATTCAACTTTTGTGTCTCCCTTCTCCTAGGGATCATAGTCCTGAGATAACCTGCTGTCCAATATCTGAAAACAAATGTTTTCTACCAATAGAAGTGTCCTTTTTCACATAAAAAAGAAATCCTTTGTTTGAACTATAATTTCAAGGAGGAAGCAGTCAGTACTAAAAACTGGTGATAGTTCAAGAAATATGACAAAGAGTTTTAATTATATTGAATAACCTGAATTATGTTGGTGCCTTGGTAAAAATAATTCCGTTGCAGTGTTCTGGGTGGAGGCCTTGTTAAAGTGGGTTGATGAAAAATAGTAGGTAAAGCCAAGAAGCGTGGACAATTCCTCCAAAAAATTTGTCATTGAAAATAAGGAGGGTGTGCAAAGTGATAAAAAAAAAAAAAGACAACTGTGAATCATCTATTGTTTTTGTTGTTTAAGAATGGGAAGAACTGAAGCACATTTAAGTGCCAGTGAGTGGACAACAATAAAGAGGGAGCATTTGCGGAAGGAGGAGAGACATCACCAATGGAATAATGTCCCCAAGAAGGCAGGAGAGCATAGGATGTTTAGTGGGGGGACACCCTTTTAATAGAAATGAAAGAAGGAACATCAACATGAAACTATAGGGGGAGTTGGTTTCTATAGTAAGAAGTTAAGCTGTTTTCTCTGACGGTATGCATTTCCCATGCAACACAGAAGATAAGAGTTAGGTGAGGTACTACAGACTGAATGTTTCTATCCCCACAAAATTCATATGTTGAAACGCTAATCCCCAGTGTGATGGTATGTGGAGATGGGGCATCTGGGAGGTAATTAGGTCATGAAGGTGGAGCCCCCATGAACGGGAATAGTGCCCTTATAAGAACAGACACAAGAGAACCTGCTCTCTCTTAACTTTATGAGGACACAACAAGGAAAGGGGCTCTCACCAGGAAACACACTGGCCAGCAACTGGATCTTGGAGTCCCAGCATCCAGAGCTGTGAGAAATAAATTTCTGTTATTTAAGCCATATGGCCTGATACTTTTTATACAGTAGCCCAAAGTCTAAAATCCGTGTTGTTAACTATAGAAGAGAAAGTGAGTGGATTTAAATGTCAGAGGAATGGATCCATTTGAGAGAACAACTGTGGACAGTAACCAGTTCATTGTAGGACCATGATGTCTGCTTGTGCAATTTTTCCCTAAAACATCCAGCAGCAGCCCAGGTATAGATAAAGGAAAGATGTACAATTGTATCAAAAGTTTTCCAGGCCAGGAATAAGACAGGACAATAAGACAGGGAGTTTAGGATAATGATTAGAATATGTGTAAAATAATCTTAACATTTCATGTTAAGGAACATAAAATAAGCTACAAATGAAAGGAAGTAACAATAAGGAGAATCTGATAAAAGGAGAATGTAGATGTCAACAGATTAAAGGTTCCAAGGAAGGAAAATAACTAGAAACTAAAGATCAAAAACTAAGATATCTAGAAACTGAAGATCAGAGTGTAATACAAGTGTTTCCATGAACTAGTGGAGGAAATTTCATTTAACTTCTCAAGGATTTGGTAGAGTATGCTATCTACATATTAGTTGAGTATAGGGACTGCAAATCAATTGTCATGAGTATGGAAAATACCCTGTGATGGGACAGGGAAGCAGAGAAAGGGAGGGGGAAATGGTGATAAATGACCAGTTCCAAGGGGGTTCACACCACTCGTGAGGGAAGATGATGAGCACAGCGGCTGACCAGGGAGGACAGAAAGAGAGCAGAATAGGAGAGAGATCCAGAAAAGAACAATAACAAAAAAATTTAAAAACTATATATATATATATTTATATATTTATTTATATTTTTATATATTATATTTATATATATAATATATTTATTATATATATAATATATATTATATATATAATATAATTATATATATTATATTTATATATATATATATATTAGAGGAGAAAATTAGTTATGTAAGAACTAAACTTTTAATAAAATACATGAAATATATCTGCCTAAATAGATGTCTGAAATGATCACTTTACTGCAAAGACTCAACTTTGTGTCTGCTTCTCTAATACCAAGGGGAGGTCACTCAGTAAATACACTGAACAGGTGTTGTTAGATAAGTTGCATGCTCCTAATCACAAGAAGAAAATAAAATGTGTAGAATCTAAATGATATAAAGAAGACAAAGGAAGAAAGACTGTACTGTTCCTACCCCATGATTCCTACGAAGGACTGCTCGAGCAGCATTTTTAGTATTCCAAGCAGTGCTTCCTAACCTTTCACTCTTTCTGACCAGAAAGGGTTAAGGGAAGAATAGCATGAAGTGTTTTTCTATCCCTTCTTGCCGTAAGTCACCTTCTATTCAATCAGTTGCCCATTCTATAAATACAATAAATATATTAAACATATTTCACAAGTTAAGAAATATTTAGCCCACATATATATCTACAAATAGAGTACATTGTAAGTATATATGCATACCGTATAATTCATCTATTAAAATATTAACATATATAACACTAAAATATTAATATATAAATTGTACTTAATATGAACTATTTTTATTTATATTATAAAGAGACATTATAAACATGTCCATATATGTATACACACACATAGAAGTATCTTCATGACTTTTTCCACCATGTATTGCTTAAGCCCTGGTTAAAGTTGCCAAAATGGATAAATACATTCCAACACTTTATCAGCCTATACACAAAATGAAAGTACCTGACACAATAGCTTCAGGAATAGTGTCATGAAACTTCAAGTAGCCTTTATCTCCTGGGAATAGCATAAAGATTGTGGAATAAATTGAAAAAAATTAACGAAGTGCAGAAGCCACCAATATTTTTTAGATTCCAAGTCCTACATGTCAAAGGGCAGTCCCCATTAAAATGGCAGGAGTAGCTGGAAACAGTATGGCCTTTCTTTTTATGTATGTAAATTTGTCTATGATTGTTTTTGTGCTTGTTTGTATGTGTGTTGAGGTCAAAATAAAAGGATTAATTAAAGCATATTATGGAAGACATAAGGAATTACCAGAGTTCTCAAGAGACTTATTATATGAAAATTAATGAAAGAACAACTTCACAAAGTAATTCAAAATATTCTTTCTTCTTCTTAGGCCCATTTCTTACATGAAAGGATACATATGAAAAGATGAGAGAATGGTGTGTAGGTTTCTAGCTGAATTAATAATTAATTAGCTTAATAAACTTGGTCATGTAAATAGATACAGATGGATAGATATACAGACAAATGTCACAGTCTATTTTAAATTCTAAGAGCCAGTGATTTAAATGAATAATGATTTGATGTATGACAGTATCTTTTATAGTCTTACCTTCAATTTGTACATTCATTTGGTTATTTCCACCACTAAAGTATGGAAAAGCACATAAGAGTGATCCAAATCCTATTAAAAAGGAGGAAACTGTAATCCATCTTGGTATGTTTCCTCTCCCTCCATAGTATGATATAAACACTACTATCAGGCAAGATGAAATATCGTAAGTCAATGACAATGCATAACTCTCAGTGGTTTTCAGATTATTTTCCTTCTGAAAAGTGTCAATGCTCAGATCTACAAGGGCAAACACAATACCTAAGTATACAAACAAGAAAAAAAAGAATATGCATTTTAAGAGACAAAATAGATCACCATTATAATCACTGCAAAGCAAAACTTAATTTACATTGATTTAAATTTATATTATTCTGAATGTTTAAGATCTAGAAGCACATGACTCCTTTTCTAAAACAGTAATAGGACTTAATTTCAATGAAATATTTGTTAATTGAATTTTTGTAGCTATTTTTAAACTACATGAGTAATTTATTAAATAATACCGATCTTTTGAATCTCAATAGTGATCTTTACATTAATGTATATTTCAATTCTGAAAAATGAATAAATAATAATCCAGTGAATATTTATCTACAATCCAGAGTAGAAAATAAAACATCATCAAAATAATTGAAACCCAACATGTACTCCCCAAACACATTCTTCCTCCTCCCTCCATAACCCATATCCTATATTTGAGGTTTACCATTTCTGAGTCTTTTAAAAGACACTTTTTGACAATGTATACATTCTTAAACAGTATAAAATATTGTTTGCCATGTTCTTGAACATTAAATAAATTGTACCAGAAATGAGCATTTCTACTTTCAGCATTGACTAGGAAAAAATAATCATGCTAATGTTTGAAACAAAAAGAACTGACATAGGGGTTGATTACAAAAGTAATACATTTATTAGAATGAAAAGAGGAAATAGGTACTAATGAAAGCTTGTGGTACCTATGCCACTGGGGTTGCTGGAGCATGAGCTGCTGCCCCTTCTGGAACTGCAGTCACCACTGCTTTTGCAGGAAGCTGGGACCCATGCTCCTGCTGATGCTCTGCGAGCTGGCTCAAAGTCACCTGCTGCTTCTGTCTCTCTTGCAGGCGCAGAGCCCGAGCGCTTGAGCAGTGTGCTGCTGAGTCACCCACTGTCATTGCTGACGGAGCTGCACTGATTCATGGGCATATATCCTGGAGCCTTACCCAGCCTTGCTGCTGCACCCAAAAACATCAGCAGAAACAGAGAGCAAAAAGAGCCTTTCCTGGGCCCGCTTTTCAAATCTACTGCCCCAGCCTCTCACCGATGACATGTAAGTGGAAGCCAGCTGGAAAGGAAGTCTGGGAAATGAAGTTTACAAGCCGTCAGTCCCCTTTGCAGACAGGAATAACCCCAGGAGTGGAACAACGGAGTTCATGGCCAACAAATAACTTGCAGAACTCACCCTTTACCCTATGCAGGCTACATTTTCACCCTTCTCACACTTAAATTTCCATACCAAAGTAACAACATCATCATGCTTCTGCCTAACATTTTTTTTTGCTTCATTAATGTACAATTACATGAACATTATGGTTACTAGACTCCCCTTATTATCAAGTCCCCATCACATACCCCATTACAGTCACTGTCCATCAGCATAGTAAGATTTCTGCCTAACATTTTGCAAACATCATTTTTACAAAGATATTCTCACTCTTTCCCAAAAAAGGGGGACACTTAGTGCAGTCACCATATCCATCTCAAGGTAATGTTAATCCTAGTTCAGTCACAAACCTGAATGGATTTTAACATGAAAACTAAATTGCAAAGGTATAAATGGTTAAAAATATATAAGCAAATAATTAAACATATCATAGAACTAAATAAATTTGTGAGGAAACTATATGGCAAAATAAATCATAAATCAGACTTGGAGCAACAACAGTTTAACAGACTAAGAACAGCAGGAAATAAGATAGAAAAGCTTTGCTGTATCCAAGAAAATAATTCTTCAACTTTAATTTTAGATGATGCCAAAGAGGATAATGGTGAAGGCAAGAAATGTCCTGTGAGTAACTGTATGCATCTCTGGGGTTGGAGTATTAATTCCCCTTCTTGGAATATTCTGTAACTAGGTGGCAGAACTCTAAAGTTCTGTCCCACAATATTCATTTATCAAATAGTAAGGAAATGAGGAATATAAAAAATTGGAATATGCATACATATACAATACAAACGTGTTTATGCACAAAATAAACAAATTAAAGAGAAATGCATCATTGCTGCTGTTTTTATTCCTCTAACAGTTATGAGACCACAGTTGATCATTATAACTTCCTTCATCCACTATGCACCCCTCTTCTACCTCTTAATCTTGGATAACATACATATGTTGCTATTGCAAAGCATATGCCTCACCCTACAGGACACTACCCTCAATTTTTTTTATTGTTATCTCTTAGCTGGGGTCTTACCTATGCCTTCAATAGGTCATTATGATTATCTGTAAGACCAAGAGTTCCTGGTTATTGAGATAGGTGGTAAGATCAGTGAATTCCATGAACATAAACTTCCAGATATACTTCTTTTGCTGTAAAATGAGGTTTTTTTTTAGGAAAAGCAAAGTGATAATGAATAATATGATCATGATAGTGTGGAAGGCATGCATTTAGACCAATTACAGTCATTCTGGCAGAACCATGGTGATAAAAGAAGGTCCCATATCCAAAATAATTACCTATTTTAGTGAGAAGAAATTATTACCCACTCCATAATAGAAGCAAACAATGTAATCAATCTGCCTCCAGGTAGCTGATTGGTTTCAGTAAGGAGTCATTTCCTAGACTGTTGATTTTACCTACAAGTGCAAGTCAGGCACTCAGAAGTGCAATGGCCAGGTTAGCTCTGGAGAAAATAAATGCATGCATTCTGCTCTTGGGTAACCTCCATCGTTGATGTAATTGTCACTATCAACATGAGCCAGTTGAACAAGACATGCAATGGCAGGGGAAAGAGGCTGGCTAATATTCATAGGATGGTTATCTACCTCATTATTTAGAGTTTCCTCAGCCATGGATTTCTCTTAACGAACATTCACATAAGATAATTGCCCATTCTGAGAGACATACCACTTACCCAGCTCCTCTAGGACCAAACTGTCAAACCATTAGACAATGACAGCATGGTATCAAGGCAATACGGACAATCAGTTGTACTGCTCAACATTCTGCCCGCTGGGAGGATTTCCTTTTCCTCTGTTTTTTAAGGCCTTCCATGAGTGGAGCTATAATGCTTCCAAAACATACTTCCACCTTCCAAAGACCACAGGCTCATCAAAGATTATGTTTCTTGTCTTAGTAGTGGGGTGGTATAAATGATGAAACTTTTCCTCCATTTTAGAAAAGGTAGCCCTGTACTCTGTACTCCACACCAATTGGTCCCTAGAGATATTTCTGAAGTGGCAGGAAAAATTTTGGTGTCTCTAATTTCCCAGGACAGATTTAATGTTAGTCATTCTGGGAAGGCTGGGATCTAATTCTAATTCTGAGTCTGACAGCAGAAAGGGACAATGAGGTGGGTCATGAGAACAATCAGTATTCCCTTAACTCAGGTGGGGTAAATTCAATAACTTCCAGCAAGCAATCATTTTTCTTCAGACATAAGAGGAATAGTTGCTCCTACTGGGAAAGGAGGTTCAGAGTTTGGAGGTTTATGGTTCTCAAATTCACTGGATTCCAGCCAAATGCCTTTATTCCAATTCTCAGTGTTCTACTCCTCTCCAATTAATGCCCCAACTCTCAAACACAAGTGAGCTGGTGAATCTGTGAATTCAACTTATTTTGTATTTCTACCACCACAAATAAGGGTTTTTTCTGTTCAAAATATGAAGTATGTGGCTAAAAGTGATGAGATTCTCACAGAACTATCAGAGAAACTAACATATTTTCTAATCATGCTCTAAACTTCTCATTTTCTTTCTGTAAACTTCCCAGTTGAATCAGAAGCAGTCAGTCAACCCCAGATCTTTCTAGATAGAATTTTCACTGGAGGAGTCAACTGCAGAAAGCTGTTTATCTCTCAGTCTTGCCTTCAATAAAAACTTTATCCCAGGCAACATTTTTAATAACTCGTTACTACATGTCATGAATTTGCAGTGTACCAGTTTTACACAAGCACAAATATTGCTGTTTTCATTGCTTTCAACCTCAATCAGGTCAGGTAACCAATTCCAGATTCCCATCTTTGAGTATGTGTTTGTTTCTCAGTTCAACACTTGGTATGGAGTGCTATATAAAAAATCATATGATTTCTGTAATTTATAGAAAAGTCACTTTTATTACACTGTGAAGCTAAAAGTTTAGTCAAAAACTTTCAAACATCTATAAATTAAAAAAGGAGTATTGTTCTTCATGCACACTTACATACTTTAACCCATTTCTTAGCCATACTTATGTCTAATAGAATATTATTTATATTTTTTGAAGAATAAATTTTTAATATTATCTTATTTCTAACTGTTCTCATGAAATTAGCTACAATTCATCAAAGTTGCTTCTTATGGTTTTGTAATAAAGGGTTAACTGATCAAATCTTGGTTGCTCAAAAAAAGACTGTCTTCAAAATTGGCCTTTGGTTGGCTCCTGGGAGATGACTCTGAGGCCTTGGAATATTCTGCCTGTCAAGAGTGCTTTTATATGCCTGAGGCCTTGGGCCACACAGTACCAGCTTGATCAGACAGCTTATACTAACAAGGTGGTTTAAGGTGAAGGAACACCCACTGTTGTATGCCTGAGGCCTTGGGCCATGCTGTGTTAATTTGAACACTTTTTTTGTTGTGTGTTGTTGGTTGAGGTGGGGTAATAGAGTTTGAGTAACTGAGGTTCAGTCACACACTACATGCTTATATGACTGATTCCCCCCAAAATACCCTGGACACTAAGGCTTATGAGAGCTTCCTTGGTTGGTAGCTTTTAGCATATGCTATCACACGTTGTTGCTGAAAGAATTAAGTGTGTCCACATGAGTCCACTAGAAAGGATATGTGGAAGCTTGGGCCTGGTTTCCTCTGACCTTGTCCTATCTGTCTTTTCCCTTTGCTGATCTTAATCTGTATCCCTTCACTATAATAAGATATAACCATGAGTTTAACATCTTTCTATGAATTCCAAATCCTTACAGTGAATCATTTAGCCTGAGTGAGGTCTTTGGGACCTCCAACATAATAGTTAATAAATGTTAAGTTGTTAAGGCCTCCAAGTGACCCTTCTCTACAGATCATGGTATCTTTTAATTGAGAAAACACTCTCTACAAATGCATATCTAGTAGCTCAAAGAAAACACTATGATATAAAGACTGTTTTCAGTTCTACTTTCGTGCTGAGATATTTCAGCCAAAATGCATGCATACCTCATTTTATTGCACTTACTTTATTGTGCTTTGCAGATACTGCATTTTTTACAAACTGAAGGTTTATGGCAACCCTGCATCAAGCAAGACTATCCACATCCTTTTCCAATAGCATTTGCTCACTTCATTTTGGTAATTCTCACAATATTTCAAATATTTTCATTGTTATTTTTCTTGTTATGGTGACCTGTGGCCAGTGATCTTTGGTGTTACTGCTATAATTATTTTGTGGCACCACAAACTGTGTCCATGTAAGATGGTTAACTTAATCAATAAATGTTGTGTGCGTTCTGACGGCTCCACCCACCAGCCATTCTCTAGTCTCTCTCCCTCTGCTTGGTTCTCCCTATTCCCAGAGTCACAACAATAGTGAAATTAGGCCAATTAACAAACTTACAGTGGTTTCTAAGTGCTCAGGTGAGAGGAATAGTTACACATCTCTCACTCTGAATCAAAATCTGGAAATGATTAAGCTCAATGAGAAAGGCATATTGAAAACAGACTAGCCAACAGATAGGCCTCTTGTGCCAGTTGTGAATACAAAGGAAAAGTTCTTGAGGAATTTTAGAGAATTAAAAGCACCATTTCAGTGAACATACCAATGATAAGAAAGCAAAACAACCATATTGCTGATACAGAGAAAATTTTGGTGGTCTGGAAATATTCCTTCAAGCCAAAGCCTAATCCAGAGCAAGTCCATAACTCTTTTCAATTCTATGAAGACTGAGAGAGGTGAGGAAGCTGCAGGAAAAAG